AAGCGGTAGATTATCGGCGGCGGCGGTGAGGGCGGGGCCCGTGAGGGCGGAGGCGACGGCGGGGGGGGCGAGGGCGGTGCCGAAGGTGGCGGCGGCGAGGGCGGCGGGGAGGAAGGCGGGAAGGGCGGTGGGGGTGCTGGGGGAGGCGGCAGCGCCTGGTGGGGCGAGGGCGGGGGGGAGGGTGGCGGCAAGGGCGGCTGAGGCGAGGGCGGAGGGGACGGCGGCGGCGAGCGCGGCGGTGGTGACGGCGGCGGCGGGGATGGCGGGGGTGATGGGGCCGGAGGGGGAGGCGACAGTGGCGGCATGTTGCAAAAGCACCAGCAGAACCTGCGGCGGGTGCTTGTTGACTCCTCGATGTTCACATTCCCAAGCGTCTGACCAGCACTGTCCACTGCAAGGCAAAAGTCGTCGTTGGCACCACCCACGGCAGGGGCATACTTGTTGGCGCTGCTTGCGATTGTAGAGGTGCCCGAGCAGCTTCCTCCCTCCAAGAGATCATACATTGACTCCACCTCCGAGACAGTGTCCAGCTCAAAGCGCCGCGCGAATAGGTCAGCATTCGTAGTCACGAGCCTGGAGCCGACCGACGCAACCTGAGCGTCGCAGACATCGACGCAGCTCTGGCCATAATTGCCCAAGTACCATGCGCCAGAGTCAGGGCCGGCACACTCTGGCTGAGATGGCGGCGGCGACGACGGGGGTGGCGGTGATGCTGGCGGGCTGTGGCAGCCCACGCGCAGCGTGAACTCGGCGTGTACATAAGGCGTGCAGTGGTTGACGACCGAGCTCGCATCGAAGCCGATGCTCACGGTGGAGTCGCCGTCGACAAGACTCTCCGACAGCACGTCCTGCACCAGGCACTCGACCACGTCCGCAGTGCAGTCGGTGCCGCCAGTCTCGAAGCACGTGCCGACCACCACTCCGTCCACCAGCACCTCCGCCGTCTCCGAGCTCAGCGCGAAGTCTCCCCGCATGCTCGCCGTCAGCGTCAGGCTCTGAAACGTCGTCGTT